CCATCCCAACTTGCCAATCTCACTTTGATCGAGGAAGCTCTGATAGCCAGGTGTCGTGCAAAAAGCTGGATAATTCACTTGCATGATGACTCTTCTTCTTCCCATACCACTGGAGCTGCCTTCTCATCTGTGAGCCCAGTCTCTCAACGTGCGCTGAAAGGACACATCATTGTATTTCCTGCTACACCTGAAGCACTTGCACCCTTTTTGCCACCACCATTGGAAGATGTGGTGACCCCAATGTGTGTCGTGTTTGTTGGTTCCCACACCCCTTCTAAAGAGTGGCTTTTGTCCAATGCTCGACCTTGGTTAGTTTGACAAGAGAAAGTGCAAGCTGCATTACAATGGCTCATTGCCAATAATCCACTGTATAGTGATGTTGTTTTACATGAAGGAAATCTGGCACACATTCCACACCATGACATAGCCCCAGTGCCAATTGAGGTGCACCATGCCACAGTTGCAAGCGATGCCCCTGGCTCCTGTTATGATGATCCTTTGGTTAATGTGGCTTCCGATGATTCCATTCCCTCTCACTTCAGCAACCTTTTGCCCAGTGTGCTGGTCACTGACTTAGACATGCGTGATGCCACATCTGCTGAAATGACTGCAGCAGCACTTCATCACCTTAAGCATGCCAGTGGTGAAATAGGTGGTCACATTCAAGTGGGTCATGCTGCTGAACCTGTCAATCATTACTCTGATCCCCATTTACTGCCTCTTTTATATCCCACTTTATACCCCTATGGCATTGGAGGATATCACCCCAGTTGTGCATCCCCCCTGAGTTTGCCCAGAATGGCCAAACATCTGTTCTCACTATCAGACCTGAGATTTCAAGAACACTACTCTTTTTTTTTCCTCATCTTCAATATCATTCAACAGCAAACCACTTCATTTCACTCCAAACTTAAAACATCCAATTCCAATTTTAATCATGTAGCAAATACTATTGCCTGCATTTCCCCTCAAGCCTTTGAGACCACACTGTCTCGACTTTCCTCTGGTGATTACTCTTCCCCCCATGATCCTGATGAACAGGCTATGTTTAAACTGATGAAGGATGTCTCTCTCATTACATCCAAGGTCCCTGGTTCTCATGCTGCACGTACACAAATGCGAAATGAGATTTGTGGCTTGATATTTGATCAAGGTCCTCCCAGTTTTTTTGTCACTATCAACCCTGCTGATGTTTATAATCCAATTGTGAAATTTCTCTCTGGCCCTGACTTTGACCTTGACAACATGTTGCCAGAACAGGTGCCATCTTATTGGGACCAAGCTACCTGTGTATCTCAAAACCCCTTTGTGGCTGCCCATTTCTTCAAACATGTCATTGATGCATTCATATCTGCAATTTTGGGTCACTCAGTTACAGATGGCATATGTGCTGATGGTATTTTGGGGCCTTGCTCAGCCTACTATGGCACTGTAGAAACACAAGGTCGAGGTACCTTACATTGTCATATGGTGATTTGGATTGAAGGGGCCTTGAATCTACAGCAAATTAAAGACCATGTCCTGAATGACCATGATTATGCATGGCATGATAGGCTCCTTGATTTTCTGGATGACACAATCAGAAACTCAATTCCAGATCCTGGCCCCACTGCAGATTGCATGTCTGACCATCACCATCCTTGCAGTGTTCGTTGTCACCCTGATATGAATCCAGATGAGGTTTGTCAAAAAGACTTGTATAACATCGTGAAAAAATGCCAAGTGCATAAGCACACTGCCACTTGCTACAAACATGGTGATTCAACCTGTCGCTTTGGGCTATCCCCAGAAAATGTCAGCAATTCAAGTTCTATGGACATGGAATCTGGTGAACTTAATTTATGGGTATCAGATGGAATGGTGAACAACTACTGCGAAACAATAATCAGAGCTGTCAGATGTAATATGGACATCAAGTTTATTGGCTCTGGAGTGTCAGCAAAGGCTATTTTGTACTACATTACAGACTACATCACCAAAACACCACTCAAAACTCATGTTGCATTTGCTGCACTGCAAGCAGCTGTATCCAAATTATGTCAAAACACCAACTCAGGTCTAGGTGTGATAGATCGAGCCCAAAGCACTCTAGTGAAGTGTGCAAATTCCTTGATTGAAAAACAGGAGCTGGCAGCACCACAAGTGGCATCTTACTTACTTGGATTTGATGATTTTTTCACAAGTCACCACTTCCGATCTTTGTTTTGGCACATGTTTGTTTCTTTTGTTCAAGCTGAGGATCCCATTTCTACTGATGTTGCTACACAGGCCTTTGAGCCAGCAGAGGTGGAAATGGAGGACTCATGCATTTTGAATGCAGACCCAGTTTCTGGCCAAGTTGAGCGCCCACCATCACAGCTAACAGATTACATGGCTCGGGACCACTCCTCTTTTTTCGACCAATTGTGTGTTTGGGACTTTGTGTCATGGGTAGATAAAGTGCGCATTCACTCAATTTCTTCCTCTGTTGATTGCGATGTTGATGGTGACAGGGGTGCCCAAGGACACACCTTTCATTCACTTTCATCAGCTCTGAATGACAGCCACCCACAACATTCCACTCATATTCTCAGAAAGCTTCGACGTCGCTCAATACCTGTCCCTATTGGCCCTGCTTTACCATGGAGAGACAATGTACCTAGGTTTGAGTTTTATTGCTGTGTGATGCTCACTCTTTTCAAGCCTTGGCAATCACCACATGATGTTCGAGACCACTGGCCAACCTGGTCAGATGCCTTCGACCATTTTCTGCTTAGTGCTCCCCCCCACATTGCCCAAGTGATCAACAATATCCAGGTGTTACATGAATGCAAGGATAGCCGTGATGAAGACTTTGCAAAGCGCCGGACACAGGTTCGTGGGACACAATTTCAAGCCAACTCAGTGGCAGATTCAAACATGGACAACGTACCTGACTTAGGCCCAGAAGATGAGCACTCTATGCTGCTTCATTTGCTTGATGTGGAGGAACGTTGCTCTCAAAAACCTGAGGGGGAAGATGTCCACATCCATAATGCACTTCAGCATGCTATGAATGCAGGTCTCTTCATTGACACCACAGCTGAAGAAGTGCTCTCTGATGCCATCACTTCTACAGGGCAATTGGATTCTTTGGCTGCACAACCTTCCTTTGCCCATCACATCCTTGATGATGGTGCTTTGGAGTTGCAATGGACAGCAGACTACAAAGATCGCAAAAATGCTGCAAGAGAAGCTCTGAAACTGTCTTTGAACGATGGGGCCAATCCTGAGTCCCTGCGATCTCTGTGTACTGTGAACAGGCAAGCAATGATTATGGACAATGAGGCTTATCAGCAACATGAGGTTTTTGGTGTGGCAGCTTACATCGATTCAGGACCTTCACCAACTGCAACTTTAGCCACTCATGACATCATGGTGACAGTGGCTTCTCATTTCTCTTTGAATTTGGAGCAGCAACACGCATTCAATTTAGTTGCTGAACATGCAGCTCTGCCTTGTGCTGAACGCCAACCTTTACTCATGTATATGGGTGGAGCAGGAGGAACTGGCAAATCTCAAGTAATCAAAGCTTTAACTGTTTTTTTTCACTCCCTGACTCAGTCATGTCAATTGCGTTTGTGTGCCTTTACAGGAGCTGCTGCACGAAACATCACAGGATGTACTCTGCATTCAGCTCTCAATTTGGGTCAGCTAACACAGATGATAAAATCTAATGGTTCTCAAAGTTGTGCCCAGCTGGTTCAATTTTGGTGCGGAGTTGAATACTTGTTCATTGATGAAGTTTCAATGATAGGATGTGAACTATTGGCAGACATCAGCTCCGCTTTATCCCTTGCAAAAGATAACTCTGATGCTTTCGGGGGTGTGAGCATTATTTTTGCTGGTGATTTCTGCCAACTGCCACCTGTGGGTTACACGCGATTGTACACTCCTGCTATCAAGATGACAAATAATGTGGTGGACTCCTTATCAGAGCACGGCCAGAAAAAAATTGAAAGGAGCTCAGCTATGGTCATTGGTTGACACAGTGGTCTTTTTGAAACAGCAGATGCGTCAGGAGGGCAGTGCCAACTCTGCTTTTCGTGACCTCCTAGGAAGATTGAGGTTTGGCAACTGTACTGCTGGGGACAAAGCTTTACTGGATACTCAGCTACTGGAGTCCAACACAGAGACACTCTGCAGCTCAGATGGCTGGGGGTCTGCTTGTCAGGGCACACCCGCCTGACCCGGGTCCACCCGGACCCACCCGGCCACACCACACCCGCTCCCCGCTGTCCAACCCTCTCCCTCTTCCTTCCTCTGTCTCTCCTCCTCTTTCCTTTCTCTCTTTCTTCCCCTTTCTTTATCTCATTCCTCTCATCTTCCTTTTCTTGTTTATTTCCTTCTATCTACATGGACCACCCTCCTTTGTATCAATGTACTATTGACCCGTCCGGCCCACACACCCCGGACGGCTCCCCGCTGTGCCCAGCACGCGCGCATGCAGTGGACGCTCTCGGGATCCCCCACGGGGATACCCGGATGCCTGCGGCTGCCTCCGAGGGTGACGTGGCACTCGTCATGTGACTCAAGCCGCATGTACATAAATGTACCTGAAGTGGGAACCGAAGAAGTAACCTTCTTCTCACATTCTCCACTTCAGGTAAGTAGTATAGTTTTCCCTTTTAATAACAATAACACATTCTCCACTTCAGTCTAAGTGGCCAGGGACTGCCATCCCTTCCCGGACCTGCCAGCACGCACACCCGGTTTGCACCCTGCGAGGGCCCTTCTGCCAGGCGATACATCCGGACCCCCTCTACTCCGGACGCGTCCCTGACACTGCTCCAATTATCACAGCATCAAATGCAGTCAAAGATGCATCAAATTGGGCTGCTGTGAAGACTTTGGCTGCTTGGGAGGGTCTCTCCCTGTTTACATATGATGCTGCCCACTACTATAAAAATCAACAGATTAATGATGAAACTCTGAACAAACAACTATTAAATCTCACATCAGAGTCTTCAACTGGCTATACGATGGGCTGTTTGCCCTTGCTCCCGAATATGCCAGTGATGGTATGCAAAAACTTTGATGTCTCAAATGGCATTGTAAATGGAAGTGATGGTGTGGTGGAATCCCTCCGTTACATTACTGATGATATGGGAAGACGCTCTGCAACCAGCTGTGTAGTTACTATTCCAGACTCCAGCGATGTTCCTTTCACAAATTTACCTCCACATCAAAGTGTCATCCTTCCCAAATCCATTCCAATCAAAATCAAACACCGCTTTACAGGGCAAACAATCTCTGTGAAATGCACACAACTCCCACTGTTGCCAGCTTTCTGCATAACTGATTACAAGTCGCAAGGCCGAACGCTGCCAAAAGTGATTGTTGATCTGGAAAGTGCTTGATCGGTTCAATCTGCATACATAATGCTTTCACGAGCAACTGGGCCCCAGAATTTGTTGATCTTGCACCCATTCAATCCGAGACGCATCATGTCACACCTCAATGGAGACCTGCAGAAGGAGTTGATTCGCCTCCAGTGTGTAGAATGTGAGACTATTTTGCACACTGAAAGTCAGAGTTTCTGTCATCCAGAGACTGCTGCATTGAGAGCCAATTTGATGGCCTCTTCCAATTCCGCTGTGCCAGGTACGAGCTGACTGTACAAGTTCAAAGCAGTGCCCACTGATTCTGCACTGCCCATAAAACAGGCACCAGTCAAGTAGGCACCAGTCGGGCCAACCACACACAAGGCACAGAGCGGCTCAAGAGGTGGAGGATTGAATGAATGAAATCCTTCCAGATGCGGTTCCTGTCGGATGTGGTTCCTGAGTGGGGTGACACAAGGCCCACCAGAAAACCAGAGTTGGAGGTTGGAGGTTCTCTAAAGCTCCCCCTTGCAGAACCTCAGTGTCCTTCATTCTGCCCTTGAGTTTTCCCACTTCTTTCACGCGCTCAATGGGGGAATGGATAAAAGCTACGCTCCATGCCCTGTTCCACGTCCCATCATCTCTACTCCCTTCTGTGTGTGGTCTCACGATGGAATCTGCGATTATTTCTCGACTCCTTGCTCACACTCGAGCCGAAAGCTTCCTAGGTTCTGTGGATACATCGTCCTTAACTTATCGAAGTGGGGCAGCTTCAAATGGTCAAAGTATTCGTGGCTCGTGGGTGTTGCAAGAGAAGTGCAATGTCTTGGGAGAATTTGCGGTTTTCGGTGTCATCAGCACCGCTGAGCTCGGTCCTTATGGAAATCAATGTTCGGCACCCTTTAACACGTGGTGTGAACAAGGGGTCTGTGTTTTCCACTGCTTCAAACTTCTCCCCACTTTTGACTCACAGTTTTTGTCAGCGATCGAAGGTGAATGCAACCAAATACCAAATACATTTAGGGATGCCTTCGTCAGCACCCTGAACTGTGAAAAAGTTGTTTGCTGACCAAATCCGGGCATTGAACCGAATTAAGAATGCTTCTGGTTTGGGAGTACACTGTGAGGGTGAGTGATGGATTGCCTGTACACTGATCAACTTCAATTGACGTGATGCAGAGGATGTGATTGAAATTCGGGACAATGAGTTTGGATGGGCTTACTTGGATGAACAAAATTCTCCATACATCCGTATCCTTCACCCAATGTTTCTAGAAAACTGCACCTCCGTGCTGAAGGAGGGTAAGAAAGTGAATGTGTCCTTGGCTTTCAAATCTGGTTCGTACTATGGTTGCTGTAGCAGAAATTGCAATCTTGAATATGTGGCTGATTCTGCAATTGCAGATGTCAATGCAGCCGCCAGCACATCCAACGAGGCTACTCATTCTGTATTTTCAGAGCCACAATGGGATCCTGAAGGACACTTTCGCCATGCACTCCCTGCTCCCAGTGTACAAAGGGACTTCAGATTCCATATCGACCTTCATGCATTCGATGATGAGGGAGCAGATGTGCCATGTGATGGTCTCGAAATGATATTTAAGGATGGGATGGCGGTCATTGGCACGGTTTCTCTCCATTTGTAAGTGTCCACTCGAATTTTTCACGCTGCGGATTTCTTGCATAACTAAGTTGTTATCCTGCTAGCACCCGGGCTCGAAACACGACCAGAGGCGAAATCCGATCGTTCCAGTTACATTGGACTGGAATCCAAATTGTTGGACAGACTAAGATGTTGCAGGATGAGGCCACAGTCGCAGCCTCCAGCAGCAAAAAACGCGTGGCTGAAGAAATGTTACCAGGTCCGCCAAAGCGAGGACCCTTTTTCACTCGGGGTGTGGATGACAAAAAACCAGAGAAGGAAAACTTGGTGCTTGAGTGCAACACGGATGGGCTTTCTCTTTTGCCTCCAGTCGAAAGCCCGGTCATGACCAAGAACCTCGAAAAAGGGAAAGGTCGGGAGCGTAACAATGGATCAAGCATTGAGTGCGGAACACAGAATGAGTTTGGGGGGAAGGGGATTTCTTCGCTCCACATTGTCAAAAAACCATTGGGTATCGAGGATGAAATGATGTGAGTTCCCATCAGTGTTCATCTCATTTCATCTCTGACTGCCATACCATGATCTCATACAGGGACTCGTTCACGACTGCCTCCGTGACCAAGAATGATGTTGAGGATTGGGGTGATGTGTGATCGTTATATGTTTCATTTCGTAGTCTGCATTTCAAAGCTTTACTGCAATGGGCTGATTGTACATTATGATTCGTGTTCATGCAACGGCACAGCTCACTTGATATTTCAATCGTCTGAATACATTGGCATCTGAGTTACCTCGAAAACGTAAGGGGGGGGGGGGGGGGTTCCGCAAGGTACAGCCCTGATGGCAGAGGGCCTATAACCTTGGTGTCTCTGCCCACGCAAGTTATGGATTCACAAGTTTGTGGATCTTAGCTATTTAAGACCGCCTTCAGAGGTCAGTGCTTCACCCTCCTTTACCAGAGGTCCCACTTTTACCAAAGATGTTCCACATGCTTGAGGAGACTCAACGACACGGACATTCTCATTATCACGGTTTCAACATGGGGGCCATTATTCCATGCTGCAGATATAACAACTTCGGGTATCAACTATATATCCGGTTTTCTCCCCTGTCTCCTGTGCCCAGGTGAGTCAGACCTCAGACTCATTTTACGAGCTCGACTGTAGCTGTCGCTGATGATTGTTAGTGAAACATTTTCGATTAATTGGGGAGAGCTCTTTTTTGAGGAGAGTCAAGGTCGCAGATCTACTCACTATCATGTCTTGGTGTTCCCCTCGCAGGTGATAGGGGTTGTTCTTCTTTGGCTGTACTGTAACTCTGACTGCAATGACTAGATGTCTGCTGACCATTAAGGTTTCCAGTTGAAGGGGAAAAATAGGGTTTTGTGGCTCCTTACTATGTCAAACTGTGCCTGGTATAGTGCTCCACGCGAATAACATATCGGTTATATACATTGGCCACTCCGATTGTAGGTTATCAGCGAGGAGAGAGTGGCAGGTTCTGCCGCGTCAGGCAGCCCCCACCAGTTATACATTGGGTATAAGCGGAGGTGGGGTCAAAGTCCGAGGTCGGAGCTAAGACCGGAGGTTCCGGAGACAGAGACGTGAACAGGATTCCAGAGTGGAGGTCCGGAGTCGGGAGCATAGGTGTTGCGTGCTTGTCTAGGTGTCAAGGTTGAGGTCGGACCCGGAATGTTCCGGAGTCGGACCGAAGGTGGTGTCAGAGCCGGAGGTGGGATAGCCTCTTGGAAGTCAGCAAGGAGAAGGTGATGGAAGGGGAGTAGGGCTCCAGAGTCAGTTTCAGAGTTCCGGGAGCCCGGAGTGGAGGTTGGGATTGTATGGATATGACAGGTAGGGCATTCGGCCTCAGCGACTCTAAAGGAGCGCTGTGCCCCCTAGCTGTCTCTTGGCCCTCATTTCAGACTTACTGAGGTTGCCTTGCTGGGGTCAGGACTTAGGAGGTCATGGTCAAATCGATATTAGAGCTAAGGTACAATAAAGTATCACACAGGATATATATAGGGAGGAAGAATGAATGGGAGCGGACCCGGGCCGAAGGCCGGAGGGTCCGGAAGCAAACATGAATAAGGAGTGGGGTTGGCCACATAGCGGCTGGCAATGACCAAGGGTCAAAACAAACAATAACAGATAAATAAAGGAAGGAGCGTAGGGCCGCAATAGCGGTGATGGCAATGGTATCGGCGCTGGACTCGGAGTTGGGCCGGACTCAGGGCGGGGAGGTTGGTGTGGCAGTGGGGGAGTCAGTCTAGCATTGGGGAACCATGGGCAAGCAGGGAGTGAGTGGGGAGGCCTCAAGGAGAATAGAGGTGAGGGTCAGGGCTCACGCTCATGCTCGCACAGTGGGATGGGCTCGGGTGGCATCAGGACGGGCCAGGAATGGGCTGGAATGCACGGCCATGACATTAAATCTGCTTAGCACCAGGGTCTCTGTTCACATGACATAGGCCACTGCTTCCCCCACTGACAACCTGCACCAGTGCAAATATTCACACCAACTCATGGAACACATCTGACCAACATCTGACACAGCATGTAGGACACATGGGGCAATGGCAGGGCATATTTTGGCAGCATGGTGTGAATGCAGGTTATATTGTGGCAAGCATGGACTGAGGCTGAGGACATGAGTTCATGTTCATGTGAATTAGAAGTGAGTAAAGACAGTTCATATAAAAGTTGTTGACAAACAACTGCTGATGTTGGTTTAGAACGTCAACAGGAATGCTGGATTTGTATCGTTCATAGAACATGAGGAAAGTGGTAAGCCTCATATCCACATCTGCCTGTCGGTCTGTACCCTATTCCTGCCTTCTGATGCTAACTGTCAACCAGTTATCACAATTGAGCTAATTTGAACCTCTGAATTGCTTTACATGTGGGGCAGCTTCAATTTGGCTCGCTGGCTGGTATTCACTGTGAGTACTTATTACATGAGAGGAGTACAAGGTCTCCAATTCTGTCATTCACTGACATGCATTTCCTCTCAATCCATGATGGTTCAGACACCAAATTTGCCTTGCTCCTGTTGCTAATGTCCCCTGTGTCCCCCAATTCTTCAGCTGTCATGTATGGCAATGAAGACACAGATTGATGTATATTTAATCCATGTGTTCAGTTCGCGTCTGTGCTTGGGGCAATCTATCTGTATTATCTGCAGGTCTATGTGAAGGTGGCTCAACTGGGAGTGCTGTTAGAACGGGGCGGAAATGGACGACTCCGGAGTGGAATCGGAGACTTAGCATGGAGGGACCTTGGCCTCAGCGACTCAAGCGGAGCGCTGTGCCATTGCTGTTTGTCCATTTGGTCCTTAATTTCACAGTAGGTGAGCAGGAAGTCTCTAGGGGGCATTTCAGGTCGATTTCGGACTGAAACCAAGACGAGTATGTACAAGCGCCGATATATATATAATGGAAGGGGCAAAAGCACAAAGAGAACAAAGGGTGACCGAATCGGAACGAAGACGTCCGAACGGGAACAAAGGGTAGAGGGAGCGGAGCGGTACCGAAGGTCATAGGGCAAGACCTGTGATACGTCCGAAAGGAGGTAGGGAGGGCGAGGCCCAGAGGGGCAGGAGGATGAGGGGAAGTGGGGATGATGACCAACTGGCTAGAATAGAAAGAAGCAGTAGTCCAAATAGGGATGAAGGGAAAACGTGAGAAATACATTACAGGCGGCGAGAGTGCCGAAGGCGGTCCGCGAAGCTCGGGGGTTGCGGAGCTTACGGAGGTTACGGAGGCGGGGTTGGAAGTCCGAGGAATATTGGCAATGGTGTTTACGTAGTATAAGGTCACCAATGCAATGGACTAAGACCGAGGTGGAGTCAAAGTCCGAGGTAGGGACTATGACGGAGGCTCGGTGTAAGGTACGAGCGGTGTCCGAGTGCAAAGTACGGAACAGCGGTGGAAGGTCGTAACTTGGCGGAAGGGTGGCGGAGGAATAACGGAGGGAGGAGAGAGGGGACAGGTAAGGGGAGAAGGAGTGGCGGAAAGGAGAGTAGTCAGGTCCGAAGGTGAGTATCGGAGCGGACGGGGGAAGCGTAGGGGGATGACGGGAGGGTGGAGGTGTTGTGAAGGGGGAGCGGAGTAGTAGGAGGGTGGCGAGAGGTAAGGAGGAGGTGTGTTGCCAGGACCGAAGGTGAGTATCAGAACAGCAGTGGTAGGTTATGACTCCGGAGGTGAAGAGGGTGGAGGTCCGGAAGTCGGGTATACATGGATATGACAAGTGCCACATTTATTTATTTTATTTTATTCTATTTTCAGGAGTTTCACGGTACCATTGGGTCTGCTGACTTCCTTAAAAAAGCTCAAAATGCTGCCAGATTTGGCAAAGAAGGGGTTCCCTTGATCTCTCTTGATGAGATCCAAACAGCAATTTTTTTTGGAATCAGCTGTACATGAAATGATGTCACCAATGCAATGGACTTTGGTTGTGCCCTGGACAGGGCTGTTTGCATAGAGAGGCTGTGGGCCATAGGAGAGCATCATGGGGACCTGGGAGTCATCCCCTGACAAATTGCCAGAATGGCACAACTCAAATGCCTACAAGATATTAGCCATGGTCATGGCTTGCATTAGGTATTATTGGAAACTGTAACACCTTCTGAATTTGCTGAGAGTTATTAATTGTGTGGTAGGCATTGACTAGAGTAGCTGGAACATGATCTCTGGGTGTTCCAACTGTCATGTCAAGTGTAATATTGGACAGGCTTGCACCTTGCTGCAATTAAGAATAAACCTTGCTTACAATCATTGTTTGCTGTGAGTGCTTGATTGCAAGCTTGAGCATGCATTGAATACCAACATCACATACTTGCCAGAGACCAGTGCAACCTCCAGGTATTTAATCTAGGATAATCCATTGGTACTGTCATATGTATGTATCCATATCAACTCTGCCTGACCTCTGACCTACTCCACCACCATTCTGGTCTCTCTCTGGTTTGACTCCTCATCTCCACCTTACCCTTCTGGTCCACCTCCACCTCCTATCTCCAGTACCATCTCCAGTACCCCCTCCACCCAGCTTAGACCAATAATAATATTCCTATCACCCCTCAATTACTATGGACCTTTGAGGACCTCCACTGTCCCGCAAAGGGTTTTCCATCCCATTATTTCCTGTCATTAATACCCCCTTCATGTACCCACTCCACACACCCCTAATAAGGACATGTCCTCAATGGCCCGGTTTATGGCTACCATAGTTGATGGCACCTTAGCACAAAATCAATGACTGATAATCCCCCTCAGAGTTTTCACCCCTCCTTCTCAGTGTATGGAACATAGGCACAGAACTCTGCTCTGAGTTGTTGAGGCCAAGGCCCCTCCACTCATCCTCTCCCTCCATCCTCATTCCAGGGTCAGGTCTAATACACCTTGCATATGTTTAACAGGTAGTTATCGAACATCCAGGTTTGGAACTCGAGGTGTGAACAGACCAAACATCCAGCTGCCAGATGCACTCCTGCAGCAGATCAAGTGATAGACATTGCTTCTCAGCATAAAAGTAAGGGACAAGAATGTTTGTGACATAGCCTATCTAATCCCCCGTTCTTATTACTTAGTAATTACATAGTCACTAAATCCTGAAAAGGCACTAACGGAATAACCGCTTGCTCTAGTAGTAAAGCTCAGTCTCACTATATGCGCGAGAACTGAGGAAAAGGGAAACTAATTCAAAAGATTGAATATAGTTTGTGGACTTCGCGGATAAGTCCGAAGTAACCAAAATAAGTAAGAAGAAAAGGTGTTGTGACCAAGTAGTCACGCTACCGCGGGAATGTGGCTGTCTGGGCGAGTTCCTCGCTCGGATGTAGGAATGTGGCTGTACGGAAACTCGTCCGGCCTCCCATAGCCCACGGTTCCTCCAACAGGCACATCGGGTATAGAATTTCCATCTTGATGACCCCTTGCTCATTACAGCCCTCAAATCGCAGGAAAATGATAAGGGTATATGTGACGCTGGAGAGATCGTATATGTGCAAGTTTTGATTCATCATTTTTCCCAAAGCTGACTTTCTCATCCCATAGTCATTCCACGGGGTAAACCAGACCAGGAATCCCCCAAACAATCTCAGGATGATTGTGCATCAGAAAAGCCCTATCTATTTGAGCGATTTTGCGAACCACTGCCTGGAAAAAAGGCTTCCAAAATATGGGACGAGACAAAGAAACAATACGCTGGGGAGTGCTCTCAAGATGGGCCCTGTTTTAGGTGCCTCCATCACGACATCGGTGTTAGAAAATCAGACAGCGACGAGCTCGGGTTTTGCGAGTTGGTTGAGGATGGTGATACGTCATTGATAGATAGTGTTAAGCAGTAAATCGATAGTTATCTACCAAGAGTGGGACTGCATATAAATGGCAAACAAGCCCGGGGCGGGGCCACAAATAAGCAGGGTTGATGGCATCGTTGTTATCCGTTAGTCGTGCGGATCGTTGTGTGGACAATAAGTCCAGGGATACTATCACTACATTATCTGCCTGAAATGGAACCAGCCGACCAAGGTTGAGCCTCAATCATCTTCATCGCTGATGTCTAAAGTCAGTTGGGCAGCCCTCGTTGCAGGGTCAGGAATTGCGAGTCCGAACGTTTTTGCGTGATTAGGATAATGCTCAATCAAATGGTTCTTAAGGTTGTGCACGGTCAACATGCTTCCTCCTGATGTCGTCTGTAAACGCATGATGGCTTCCCAAATCTGAAAGGGGTCTATCAGCACTGGGCATCGCTTGAACTCGTGGAAGGGCGTGCGTTGGCAGATTTGACATGTTCCCGCTGAAAATAAATGAAATTGGGATCGCGCTACAAAACAGGTAGCTTACATAAGGCGGGGCCAGCAGGAACGCTCCCTGCACTTCCAGCGATTGGACGGGACTTGTCGCTGCTCCCATTCGCCGATGACGTCCCTGAGGTGGCGTTCGAATGGAAGTATGATGGAGCACCAAGTTGTTTTTGACGTTTAGGATTGGGAGGCGTCCCGGGGCTCGGCGCACGTTTAATGTTGGAACTTGAGGCTGAATCACTCCTTGAGCTTGGAAGAGTTGAAGTGCTGGACTTTGAGTTGCCAAGAAATATCGCCATTGGGTCTTCCTCAAGCAGCTGCGTTGTGCTAGTGAGCACGGGATTCCCGGCAGATGGTCGGGAGGCAGTTTGTTTCTTCGAGATGCTGCTCGCGCTTGGAACTGGATCCGTCCAAATAATTGACGGGACTGAGACTTTACTAACACGAACCGGGGCACTACGACTAGCGGCCACCGCATGTCTAGGGACTGCAACGGTTTGCGAGAATTTCATCGCTGGAGCATTGCTGTGCGGGTTGGAAGAATGGCCTTCCGCTGTCGGTGGTGGTTGACCTTTCTCTCTTTTGCGACCCAGTAGAGCCAGGTGCTCATCCAAAGCTCTAACAGCAGCGGCCTAGAAGTCGTCAATGCAGGATAGAGTGCGTTGGTGTGGCAGACCCACCTTTGCTTCCGCCGATTCGGTTGAATCGGGTATCATGTCACGAAGGTCCACAAGAACTCTAGGATCTCTTAATATGCTACACTGACGAGATGGGTGCGAGCCCCGACATAGACGACATGGTTCGCCCCCTCCGGGTCTCTGGACCATTTGAGGCTGATGTAAAATGGTTGATGATGGGTCAGTCTGAACACTGTGGCGCGGTTCTAAGGTTTCTTGCGACCCAAGGAGCAGTTGCATATCGTCAAGATCCATCAATTTCGATCCGGAATTGTCATCGCTGTCTGGAATGGAACCGCTAGCTGAAACGGCAAATTCTGAAACGTCGCTTTCATCGCCTTTTTTGCCTTGTTTGCCAAAGTAGTGGGTCTGCGGAGCATTGAGCTATATGGTCACATATTTGGCTGTCATCTTACTTTTGTTGCCTTTCGACGAACACCTCGCCCTGTTTTCACAGCAGCTAGTCGTGCATCCTCCTCTAGTCGGGACCTCTCGAGAACGCTTGCCCAAAAATCTGCGTCTCCAGCCTGATCCCGTAATGCAGCTGCATCTCCACTTTCCAACGGCATGGCGTCATCCCGCTCCCAAACTTTGGCGAATCCAAAGGATCCTGCTGCTTTGGCTTCTTCGGCCACAGGCCGATGAGCCTCCAGTTCCGCTCGTTCAATCAGCGCATCAATGTCTTTGCTGGTATCTGTGAGGAAGCGAAGAAGCTGCTCAAACCCAGCACCAGCCATTTGACTTGAGATGACTATGATTTATACACTTACAATTCAACTCCGTGCTACTCGTTTCGTCGAACAGGGCTTTCGCGCCATGACTAAGAATAGATTTAACATCCTCGATGTTATCCTTGTCCTCCATCTTCCGTACAATGACGTGATCGAGCACTAATTTTTTCTTTCCGTTATTGATGATCTTTTCCTCCGCGGAGTTCTGGATCACTAAAGTAAAGACAAGAACTGGCTTCTTCTGGCCCATCCGATGCGCTCGAGCGATAGCCTTTAAGAACGGCAGAGTGCGTAAGTGGTGCTCGAATTCCAGCAGTGGGGAAACGCACTTGCAAATCTTGCTGAGGGTTGAAATCGACATCCTAACAAGCGAATAGTGAGTATGCGACAATAAAGTGACGTCTTTTAGTCTCCATACATTAATGATGACAACATCAGCTGACCATAAGTTGATGCCCACTCCTGCGATGGACACGCTAAGAGATAAGAACCCGAGGAAATCACGAAACGCACCTCCTGCTCGTGTCGTCAGTAGATAAATAAAGTAGTCGGAATCAGGTGCATTGAAGGCGTCCATGTCTTTCTGCCTCTGCGCCTGTGGTGTGTTCCCATCCTGAGAAAGCGTGAGGACTTGAAGCGTTGTTAGTGCATTCGCGCTTACTAGTCTAAGGTACTTGATTCCTTCCCCACCGAGAAAATCCTCTACGATGTTGAGGTGGATTACAAACTTAAAACATAGGTTCTGAGTGTCGTAGTTGATCTCAATGTTCAGACACTCGTACCTGGCTAAAGAGAAGGACTCGATGGCCCTTTGCTTTGAGTTTGGGTAACATCATTTGCAGAAACCGTAGTTTTGCGCTGGCTTCTACTAGCTGACGATGGGCTTCCTTGTTTGATAGATTAGGAGGTTCAATATCGCTATTAACCAAGTAAGGATGTTGCATGCATCTTAGGGGCCACCAAGCTCAGAAATGGGCAGAGTCATGCAAAGAAACGACGCACTTTCTAATGTTCATCAATGCGTTGTTCATGTTCGTGTTAGTCTTGACTGTAGAATTAGCTTTAGAGACTGATTGTGCCAGGATGGCAAGAACCTGGGGGTTCTGTGCTACACAAGGGGTTATTGGTTTTAGGTAAGAGGAACTAAGCAGTGTTCCACACATACACATTATAGATTTGTACACTTCTTTTTGTAGTTTTGTCATGGTAATTGGCACAATGACTTCATGCTTGAGGTGCGTTAGGACAAGTGCATACTGGAGGTTGATTGACTGACCTTCCGCGGCAAATCCTTCATGACTTCAGCCTTGATTCGTCGAAGGAAGTAAGGGCGAAGTAATTCGTGCAGCTCGCTAACGAGTTGTTCAGTTAGAACCTCAAATCTTCTCTCGAGAGCGTTCAAGTTATTCCACTTGGAAGGGTCCAGGAGATTCATAAGGTTGAAAACCTCTCGGACGTTGTTATTGATGGGAGTCCCAGTCATAAGTATGCGCTGGATTGAGTTAAGTTCCTTCAGCCGCCTGAAAAGCAAACTTGAATCCGACTTGACTACGCTACATGTAAGTCAATGTATAAATTCCTAGAACCGACCGCACGCACCACGTTGTCCTTCGTCGATTACCACAACCTCCCAACGCGGAACAGATTTGAAAACCGAATTGAAGTCACGAGGATTCGTGATGGCTTCGTAGGTGCCGATGAGGACGTGATACGCAAGACTTCCATTTTCATGATAGAGCTCGTAGTTTTGGATGATATCGCGTGACTCTGCGGAGCCCGAAAACATGACGACCCTCACATGAGGTGCCCATGTTTCAAACTCGCGAACCCAGTTGGCAATAGTCGAGTTGGGGACAACAATAAGATTCGGAAATATCTGTCGATCCTTGACTAATTTTCCGATCAAAGATATAATTTGTATCGTTTTCCCCTTAAACGAATGTTTGAAACGAACAGGAAGTTCACTATGTCAAGCACTCACCAACCCCATTTCATCCGCAAGAATGCAAGGCTGTTTGTTCCACCAGTTTTGCCATAACCAAGTAAAGCCTTCAAGCTACACCCGACGTTAAGAATGCAAATCATCATTTTGAACAGAGTCTGATACCTGAAATGGCTTGAGTTTGAGGTGAGGGACTTCAACCCAGTCGGGTTGCGAGAGGATTTTGAATTGCTTGGGAGCTCTTGCGTCTCTTTTCTCCGCCTCTGCCGGTGTCAGGATTGGAACGACAGTTTCTTTGGCAGTAATATATCTCGCGAAAGCCTTCTCGAAAAGCCCACAACCATCTGCCTCTCTTGGTGGCGAATCCCAGGTGGCTTTAATGAGAGTACTGAGTTGGGCAAATGTCATTGACATGCAAGGCTTACCATCAGAGTACGCCAAATCTTGCCATTTGATGTACGCCCAGACAACATCCTTGGAGTCGTCTTGGGCAATCTTCCCCGTACGGCGTTTCCTCTGTGTATAAGTCTCTGTCAACGAAAGATTGGGCTCTTCGCCATCGACTAATGTATTTCGAGCGATAATATTCGCATCAAGCATTGTCCCGTCGTCGTATACCTCACTATCTGAGGTGACGATGGAACGAGCGGGTCGTCTCTTCGCTTTACTTGGCTGGGGTGGTTTCCAGAATCTCACATCCAGAATTCGATCCACCAAGAGCCACGCAGGAGGAATGAGAGCAACGGCATTAGGTACCGGTCCTGGTGGACCATCCACAATGCGCTCCTCATCACTTTCACCCTCAGGCTCAATCACTTGGCGATTTCGGGCACGTTGCGGTGATGAAAGGTCGTCAGGCTTGGTATGGATCTCCAGAGCGACTTTGGTATGGTCACGGTTATCATCTAGCAGTTTGATCCTGGCACCTTTCCTGAGGAAACCCGACAGTTTGTGATGTGCACGGGAAAGCAGGAAGAGGTGAGGCACCCATTCCACATGCCTAGAAATGATGCAAACGCTTCGCATCATGCGCTTGAAATATTGGGTGGAGTAAGAGCTAACCTGTAACTTTTACCTACCCACTTGACCAGGTATTCTCGCGGTAAGGCACTCTTAATTGGAGGCACTTGGCCTTTGGCGAGATTTGGCGCAACCACGTTTGGTGGATAAGGCCTCCAAGCCAATATCTTATCAACAACTCCCCAAGAGTGGCAATCCTTGCATTTCCATCCAAATTTGTGATACTCTCGCGCGATATCCCTAGCAGATAACATTACGCTTTCATCGGCTTGTAAAGGGGGGAGATGTTGATAATGTGCTGCACGACGACACGAGGCGCAACGGAACAATAATGAGCGGATTGGAATCTTAGCGTTGGAACGTTGTGGCGAGTCAGACGTAAGACTGGCCGGTGGACTAGTAGCATGTTCCAATGTACCTTCAGAGGCTGGGGCAGGGGAAGACGATCGAAGCGTTGTGAGATGATCGGGTTCAGGCTTGGCTGGTGCGGCTGTCGGTAGATCATCCTTGCAACAAACAAAACATAGCTTCGAGATGTTACAATCCGCACAGACGAAGTATGTCATCTCCCTCTCCCCAATCCGATGGCGCTTCGGCGGGGAAAGGGGCAGCTCTTCATCGTCACTCATGGCCTCGATTGCCGCTGTGTAGTTTTTTGCTTCACGATTACGCACCCCGTGAACTATTTCGGCCCGCTGGACGTCGGGAAGGCATCCGAAATGATATGTCATGGTGCAGGATGTGCAGGCAACCCATCCGGCCTGTTTCTCAAGTAGTTGTTCTTCATCTAGCACGTCTTCCCTTTTCCTTCCCCTCCTCTTTTCGAGACGCCTGCGTTCGATGTGGGTCGGTTCACCTAAGCACTTAAGACAGACATTCCTATGTTGACAAAGAGGTGCAAATCCCATGCTCATCATCACGGATGGGGTATCTCTAACCACCCCAACCTCAGGATTGATCGTTTCGAATTTAGGTGCCCCAGGAATACGGATAACCAACGGAGGAATTTTCCCACCAATTTCCTCCTTTGGATCGCTGGGAATGACAGAAATGGAAGGTGATGTAGCGGAATAGTTTGTGGTGGAGCCACGAAGCTTTCTTGGGCTGAAGTTGAGCTTCTGGGCATTGGTTCGAGTTGAGCGTCGCTGAGGTTTGCCATCTTCTGAAGTGCTTCCCTCGTAAGATAACAAGCTGTCACTGTCACTAGGTTGGGTAAACGTCTCGGACTGAAACGTTTCTGGGTCCTTCCGCGCTCGTCGCCTCGGTTGAACCCTGCTCGCGGAGGGAGCTTGTGATGATGGGCGATCTCTTGGTCGGACGAAGCTATCCCAAGGATCAAAGGGTTCCAAACGATTTTCGGACTTAAGCTCGACTTCGTCGATTGATGCAATGTAAGAGGCGCGATGGACTGCAAATTAAACCCATGCTTACAGTACTCTTCCAAGAGACCAGGGTATTCTTCTAACTGTTCACGGGTAAACTGATTTTATGTGTGCGTCAGAGAAGCCGAGACAATTGATCGTCGCAAGTCCCAACCTTCTGAATGACTTCACTTCTTAAACGAGCATAGTACCATGTAACACCGCCAAATTTATACTCGCCTACCACTTCCTGCAGTTCGAGGTCGATCTTGTCACCAAAAGACGATTCGGATGGATTGTTTTCCATTCTTCCCGCCCCGACATCCGATGGTGCTTGGGAAGGTGCTGGACTAATTCCGGTCAAGTCAATCACTGGTTCATCATTGCCATTCATCAGAAAGTTTTCAAAAAAACCCATTGTAACCCACAGTACTGACCTTCCGAGCCGTCATCGATATTTGTGTACGGGATTTCAACCCAGAATGTCCTCCCAGGGGTTAAACGGAGGTCACGGCTGCTGATCATTTGAGAAGGCGGTTCGCCTCCCTCAATAGACGCGTCCATTTTCGCGTGCACCAGTAGGATGTGCGGAAAGACGCGGGCACGATTGCGAAGAGGTGCGCGTTGGCAGAGCGTAAAACAGGTCTCGAACGAACCGCGCAAGGCAAGTTGGGATCTACTACGGAATTATCCGGTCACATTTTTAGATTGACAATATCATTCAAGATGAGCCTTTTTGGATATTAACAATGGGATGCATGAAGCAATCCTGAAGAATCGAGGATTGTGTATGAATTTTTTTGGAAAATCGCCCAGACTAAGTTCCTTTAACCACCCCAGTTCCCCTTCCGACATAGAAATGGGCCTTACGGGAGCATTGTCTAACGGTGGAGAACAAGCTATGTGGCTAGGTAGGCAACATGTGGCAAAGGGGGGGGGCGGCGGCGGCAGGTGTTCTATTTGAACATCTACAGACATGACTAATACTTATCATCATTACACTAACACGCTGGGAATTACTGCGTGAGTCTCTGTGCTTCAAGAGTCTATCATATTTGAACCAGCACCTGGGGCTTTTTTGCCCTCCACTTCGTCTGCGAGCATGTCTGCAATGCTAAGATAGAACGTGGAAGGCTTGAACTTGATAGATTTCCCGGTCTATTCGGATGCGCTTTCAGAGACCTGAACACTTCCTTACTTCCTTACTAGGAACCACGCACCAAGCCCGCCCAAGCATATCGTGCGGCGCTGATCCAACCGATCTATGTAGGGCAAATATGGCTGACTGGTGAATTGGAAGCCGTAATTTATAGCTCACTAGGTCAATATGGTTGACGTCTTCCAATGTCCCCATATACTTTCCCCCTGGAATTGATGGTCCGAGTCAGAAATAAGTGAAAGAAGTGTACTCACAACGAACTTACACTGAGAGGAGGTCACAGAGACAAGACCATCATTTGGCCCTTCCTTCTCTAGAATGACAGAATGAGGGAACTTGAAGGCATCCAACAATCTTGGGGTAAATGCGGCGCCATAAGAGAAGTATTTGACATCGTCAGCATCCGGCGTTGAATCGTTAAAGTCCATCATGGCTCCCAAAGTCAAGGTCTCAAAAGCGGTACCGTCTCCCCCTCCAATGGGTAATTTATCTAAAAGCGCGAGAAGTGATGGCATCCGCTCTCCTAATGACCAGAGTCCCTCAGCTCCCAAATCACGCAGTCTGAAACATGCTCACTCCCAAGAACCTGAAGGAAGTAGTCTGCAAACGAGGATCCTCTGTGTGGTGTTGCAATGGTGGTTACTGATATAGGAGTGAATCTGTCACTGCGAAGGTGTGTCACTAGATATCGACAATCCAATCCCCCCTGGGAAAAGCATTAGCCTAATAATATCACATTACGATCTGGACTGACCATCGAGTGGCCTATGAATATCAGGAAAGGAAACTAAATGCGTATCATCTTGAATGGTGACAGGCCCATACCTATCAAATGCACCCTTCTTCCAGGGAAATTCTGGAAAGGATGTGACCAGGTTTCATGGCCCTTGGCCGGAGAGCAAGCCAGCAATCATCATACCTCGGATACGGTCCTCTCAAGGACTCTCGCCCTTTCTTGAATGCTGCTTGTTGCCGGCACCCGAGTAATCAGGACTTCGCACCCCGCAGCTTCCAAAGCTTCCTTGATTCCGCGCCAATAAGATATCGCTACTGTCGCCACATTTATTAAGTCGAATCCTAAAAGGCCGTGCACCAGCACTAAAGGCTCCTTCGGAGCACGATCTGTAATTCGTGTTGAGGTCATATGTCTGGCACGCCATATGAAAAGCTTACATCGCTTCCGGATTTTGGCTTCAGACCTTCCTTGGCTATCTCCTTGATCTTGCTCCTTCAATGATGGCTCTACATCTTCTAGATGTTGAAACCACCAACCAGAGGAACCACTTGGCCTCTGATTGCTGGACGCCGATGTACTGAACCCCTTCCTTTGGATCTCCCGGAGAACATCTAATGATGATACTGTGGGATATGCTTTACGGAGTGATGTGGGCCGTACAGGCGTCTTGGGCTTGTAGTCCAAGTTGGAAGCAGGGTCAGACGGCGGTGGAAGCAGACTGAACTTGTAGGGTGTAAATGAGGGACTCGGAAGGACCGTCTCCCGAGCAAGGCTCGGGAGTGGAGGACGCAGTGGTGATAAATCTTTCAGAAGAGTCGGTCCCGTGCCAAAGACCCAACACTTATGCAACGAAGACTGCGAATCTTTGGGACAACGATCTTTTGTATAGTCGAACATTTCATCCTCCATTGCATCCTGCAATGCAGCGGCGGTTCGTTCGCGAAGGGTCCGAACCTGACGATCAGGTTGAGAAATTGTGTTGCCATGAGAGTCCACCTCTACCAGCTCGTAACCCCGCGTGCCACGCGTTGGTGAAGAAGGGGTGGTCAGTGGTGATCTAAAAGGCTGAGTGTGCATCCTGCTCGAAAAGGAATATCTTCGATGGCGCCCCATGGCTCGCAGTAGGTCCGGCGTTTTTGAGTTATTAGGATCACCCAGAAGGTCCGAGTCTACTGATGGCACTATCTGATAGGGATGCGGAATACACGTTGTTTTCTGAGTTACCCTTTGTTCAGAGTTTTGTTTGTTGTTTTATTCTGGATAGTTAACCTGCAAAGCCTCAGGCTGCTCACACGAGCACCGAGGGCAGGGGTCTCGAGAAAAATACGTGCAAATAAAGTAAAAAAATAACAGATAAGCCCCATCACTTACAAATGTTCGGATATATATTGTGTTGCTGGTGCCAAAAATGGGAGGGGTTCCGTGTAAGGTAGTCACGGGTAGATTTCTACCCGGAGCATGTAAGTACTGGGGCAACCGAAGGTTGCGACCACGCCTCTATGTGGCTGAGCTTTCTGTTCAAAATGAAGCCAGCTATGGCAGGACGTTTCCCTCTGTGCACAATAAAGATGGCATGCAAATAGACATGGGGTATTGTTTTTGGAAGCCCATATTAGTGCACCTTTGGTTTACTTTTCCGTAAATTTGCTTTATTGTTGAGATATTGGTCAAGGTCATAGCAAAAAACATTGAAGATAGCATTACAGCGGATTCCGAAATAATAAAAGTTGAACAAGCGAAGACCCTGTTCAACCCGAATTGGCAAGAAGTAATGATGTTGAGTCACCAAAAGGGGAGCGCTGTGTTTCCTGTTGATGTTCTCCATCAATATACTTGTCAATATGCCTGTCAATATACCCGGCCACCTATTACATTCATTTCGGACTATTCCGCTCCCATCACGAAAGCTATATTGACGGGAAGCACAAGCACCTCCCCTTTAGAGACTTGATATCATTGGTACATAATTTACTGCACTAACTACTTTGGGTTGAACAGGGTCTTCTCTCATTCAACTTTTCTCCATTATTTCGGAATCTGCTGTAACTTAAAAATCGACACCAACTAATACCTAGATAGGGAAATTATAATTCAGTTCTAGGGGCAAAATACTATGAAATGGAGGAGAATTTTGGGCTCAAAATTTGGGAGCATCGAATGCTTGCAGAAGTTGCCGAAGTGATTTAAAGGTTCCACCAAAAATGCATCTGCAGCCCCACAGTGTAAGGGGTTGGTGTAGGTTCCAACCCCAGTTCTCCTCAATCCTCAGGTCATCAATAAAGTTGAGCTGTATGGAGCTTTAATTATCAATGATGGGGAGGATAAGGAGTTCTGTTCCTTTTCCCAAATTCCCACATTATTGTATATACATTGTTTATACATGTTTATTATGAGACACATATTGTCAGGGTCTGTCCCTCGTCCAGAGGGGATGTAGCGATGAGGCCCAGGAGTGGCACTGGAGAGTCTTCTCCAGCCACTAATTCCTCAAAGTCGCTGAGGGGACTTGCCCTGGGCTTCACAGGGAATGAGTTGAGAAGAAGGGTAACCTTCTCAACTGTTAGAACTGTGCGGATTCGGACGACTCCGGAATGGAATCAGAGACTTAGCATGGAAGGACCTTGGCCTCAGCGACTCAGGCGGAGCGCTGTGCCATTGCTGGTTGTCCTAGGGGTCCCTAATTTCGGATCTAGCAGAGGGAAAGTCTCTTGGGGGAATTCATGTCGATTTCGGACTGAGGTTACAAGTTACTAGGTACATTGTATATAAGGAGGGGTCCGGAATCAAAAGGAACAAGGGTAGGATGAAAGGAGACAAAGGGAGATGGAAAGAGGAACAACACCGAGGGTCAAGTGTTTGACTCAATGGTGTTTCCCAAAGGAGGAATGAAGGGCCAAGGCCCAAGGAGGAAGGAAGGAGGTTGGGAGTGGGGAATGGCTAGCTGACTGAATAGAAAGGAAGCAGCAGCCCAAATAGGAATGAGGGAGAATAGCGGAATTGAAATGGACAATGCAATAGTTGCAAGGTCCGGAGTAAGTCCGGAAAGTCCGAACTCGGAGGTTAAACTCCGGAATATTGGCAAAGGTAATTGAATGGAATGAGCTAACCAATACAATGGGTATAAGCAGAGGTGGGGTCAAAGTCCGAGGTCGGAGCTAAGACCGGAGGTTCCGGAGACGGGGACGCAAACGGGATTCCAGAGCGGAGGTCCGGAGTCGGGAGCATAGGTTTTGCGTACTCGTCTGGAAGGTGTCGAGGTTGGGGTCGGACCCGGAATGTTCCGGAGTCGGACTGAAGGTGGTGTCTGAGCCGGAGGTGGGATAACCTCTTGGGAGTCGGCAAGGAGAAAGTGACGGAAGGGAAGTAGGGCTCCGGAAGTCGGAGTTCGGAGTTCCAGGAGCCCGGAGCGGAGGTCGGGATTGTATGGATATGACATCAACCCCCTGTGAGGCCGCTACAAAAGGAGCCTGAGAACTGTGCAGTTGTCGGGTCTTTCCCAAGTTTCCATATTAGGTACCATGGGAAGATTCTGGGCAAGCTGCTCACCCAGAACGTTCCCATGGGTTCACATACCTGTACTATTGCGGAACAGTGGAGGAAAAATGGGGAAAAATGGGGGGAGGGTGGTTAGGAGGGGGGAAGGGGTGTCTGTCAGAGACCAGGTTGAGATGAAGGAGTGTCTCCGTGGTGGAGGGCTTCGGCCTCAGCGACTTATGCCAGGAGCGCTGTGCCAAGTAACACGTCCATGCCCTAACTTACTAAACTGGCAACCAGAACTGAAGGGGGTAAACTCTAGTCGATTTTATTACTGAGGTGTAACCTATGTACAAGTTGAGTATATATATAGTTACAACGAGAGCAGGCCTGCAAATGGCGGAGCCAAGCGGAGCGGAGCTAATGGGGTTAGACATTAGCCGATTGAATATTACCAACAAGTCGGGTTACAGGGTTAACGGAATGGTAGGCAATAACCCAGAAATGGAAAGGAGGGATAGGCCTGAAGGTGGGCTTGCAGGGCAAGCGAGTGTATTGCCCAGTGGAGGTGGGAGTGTGCTAGTGGATGTCGGAGCTGTCTGGAAGCCTTTGGGGCTCTGTCAGGAACGTGCCAGGAGCGTATCCAGGTGACCCGCGAGGCGCGCGAGGTCGTCCGGGCTCGTAAGGTCAGAGGGGCGGGACTTTAGCTTCAGCGACTCGGGTGGAGCGCTGCGCTTCGTTCTTACGTTGGTGTCCCAATTTCAGACAGAAGCCTTACGATGAGGATAAGAGTTTAGAGGGGGAATCCAAGTCGATATACAAACTGAGGTACATCCGGTGTAACCTACATGCGTTATAAACACAAGTAACTAAATGAGACCGGCCCGGAAGGAGTGGCGGATCAAGCGCGATATTAATGAATGAAGAAAGGAACAAATAGTTAATATCGGCAAACTTGATCAACAAAAGGCAAGCAAGGAACAAAAGGAAAGAACAATAGTCCGTAAGCGGACAAAAGAGAAAAGGCCATCCAGCTGGGGGTGGACAACAATGAAGCAGGCAACCTAGGTTGGTAGGTACGTGCGTGAGGGAGGAAGTGCGGATGAGGGTGATGGGTGGACGGATGGGTGGACGGATGATGATGATAGCGGGAGGGACGGACCAAGTGGCACTAGGGCGCATAGAGGGGAGTGACGGATATGTCAGGTCGTGACAGTATCCCCTTCTTAGGGCCGACGCCCCTGGAGGCCCAATTGGTGCACATGGGAATCGTTCGGCCAATTCCAAATTTGAATCCGCGTGTGAAATCAAACATTCGCTCCATCAATTTGACTAAGTCCAGTCATTACTCAACAGTTCTACTCAATACCCCACCTTCCATGTCCAAACATCTTGACCTCCTCAACATCGCGTCCTGGGAGGAAGAGGATATCCAAGAGGTGACGGATGACGAGCCTGCCATGATGCAGGCTAAGCTCAACGAACGGGTGAGGCGCAAGGCGGCCAAGAAAGCGGCCGAGGCAGCTAGGCGGGCGGCCGAAGAAAAGAAAAAGCGTGAGGAAGAGGAAGCCAGGGAGCAGGAGGCAGAGGCAAAGCGCCAACAGGCGCGGGTGGCTGGGTCGTCCAAAGGCAAGGTGAGTAGCCAGCTTCTTTAATCACTTACTGCCACGAGATCCCTGAGTCTAACACAAGTATTTTTTTTTGTTTTGTTTTTTAGCGCAAGGCCTCAGTCGACCCACCACAGGCTGCAAGGGAAAGGCCCCCTTGTGGTCGTTGCATCAAGTCCCAGCTGGTCTGCGAGTGGGGCAGGTACCAGGTGTGCACAAACTGCACGCGCGCCAGGGCCAAATGCGACCTGGTCACGATTCGAGTGGGGACCGCGACGCCCTCACAGCAAAAGAAACTGCGGGTGATCTCACCCAAGGCGCCAGTACACACGTCTGAGGATGGGGGTGATGATACGGAGGACGAGGATGGGGGTGACGTGGAGAAGTGGGGTGAGGCAATCGTGGACGCCCTCAAGGAGCTGACTGATGCTGTGAGGCAGTTGCCCAGCGAGGTTGCCAAGATTACGCGGGAGGAGAGGTCAAGGAAGAAGAAGGAGAAGTCGGAGGGTGGGGGAGCAGGTCACCCACCCACGTATACTTCCCATGGTGTGGGCGCGTCGCCCTGAAGTTCTCTTTTTTTTCATTTTTGTATATACCTCCACCATGCCATACCCTAGTCAAAACATGGCCAGTTGACGCGTGAGCACTCTAAGAAAAGTGAGGGCCCAGTTTGTCAGGATAAAGCGCGTGGAAGTCAGAAACCAAGTCAGAGGCATGGCCAAGCTCCGTGGCCGGCAACCAAGAAGTCTCCTCGTCCGTCCCATCATACCCGAGCCAACGTACCAGGTACAGTAACTTACAGTTACGACGCCTATGATCCAGCTTTGA